ACCCCCTGGCCTTGTCTCTCACCGTGAGTCCTAAGCAGCAGCAAGAGCAGAGTGACTGCACTGCTGGTGCTCCTACGCTGCTGCCCTGCCAAGTGCTGTTCTGCCTCCTCACTTCAGAGAGGGAAAGAAAAAAACCCAAAAACCCAGCCCCCCCCCCCGCTTTTTTTTTTTTTTTGATTGTTTGCTTGGAAGTAAGGTTATAAAAGGTAGTAAGGAATTATCTTGAAGATTCACAGTGACTTTGCTAATGCTTGGTGGTCTCATGCAAAGAGGCTGGCAAGGGTCCTGGCCACCAAGTGAGGCTTGCCCCTATCATCTCTTGAGAGATTTGTAATCCCAATATTATCCCTGGTTGCTGGGGTTTTTTTTGTAGTTTGTACATTTTGCCCAGGACATGCCTGGGTGACCAAGCTTGTCTGGACTGCAGCTTTGTCCCTTTGGACATGAGAAAGCACACGGATGTTTGGGCTTTTTACAGCATGCCTAAGCATTTTGCTGCTTTATCTAAAGAAAGCATGAGAGGCAATGGTTTAAGAAAAGAAAACCAACTCTGGGAATGAAATAGTTCGTTGTGGTAGTTTGATGTTTGGCTGTTGCTTTAATATAACAGTTAGAATTTCTATGTTAGTTACAACGGTTTCTGCCATGTACTCCATTCTGTTCCCTCAAATAGTTCAGCCTAAAGTTGTTTATCCCAACAGTCTGCCCCTCACTGTGCCAGGGTCCCTGTTCCTCCCCTCATTCCCTTATATGTCCCTGCCAATCCCAGTCGCCCTGTCCCTTGCTCCTGTCAATTACTGTTACCTCTCCCCTTGTGTTCCAGAATGTTCCTTGTCAGTTAGCCCTGCTTTGATGATTTCTTGGGTTAAAGGTCTTCTTCTCTCCCCTGAGTTCTCCCTGTTGATTAAGTTATGTGAGGTAATCCTCCCCTAAGATCCCCTCACTGGTTAAGAGTTGTATCCAGCCCTTGTACCCTCCCCTCTTTAAAAATGCTAGCCGGACCCCCTTTTCTCTGGCACTTGCTCCCGACCCGCTTTGGGAAATAAAGTTTCCCTGGAGACTCAAGCAAGTTCCTTTCCCTGCTTCCTTCACTTTGGATTCTTTGTGCTGAGCCTCTGCAGTGTCACCCACATCGCTGCCATCACTGCCACCCTAGACGATCTCAGCAGAGATGGGGGTGGCCATCCTCGTGTGTGCCCTTTGGCCACTGATGATGTTGCTGGCCGGCAAACTTCACCCTGTGGCCACAGACTGCTCCCACCCTTCATCTCCTTCTGTCACTCAGTGGATTGACATCTGGCCTAAGGAGGAAAGTAGGGCTTTCCCACCTCTGCTGCAGGTTCCATGTCTCAGCTGGAAGTGCTGAAATGGCCTCCAAGCTGTGCTTGAGCTACAGTATCTTCTGTTCTGTTGCCAGGCTATCCCTAATCAGCCTTTTTCAGATGACCACAGCTACAGCTGAATGATTTAATGGATGGGTTAACCTCCCCTCTGGCAAGTTCACCCTTCCCAGGAGCGGGCCCTTGGGGAGGCAGAGGAGTCAGGAAAGCCAAGAAAAAGTGACGGCTGGTGTTATGTTTGTGAAACTGGTGCAGACAAGTATTCATTGGCATACTGGTTAGCAATAGGTTCCCCAAGCCACCCCAGTAAGAAAGGAGGCCTGGCAGGGATAGGTACAAGATAGATGATAAACCCATAATGTGTGTATGTCAAAGAGAGAGAGAGACAGCAGCTTTGGCAGGATTACTTCCTTTTGAGAAAGAAGAATTCATCCTTTTCTATATTGGCAGAAATACATGTGTCCTTTCATTATAAAATTATATATTATATAAATTCTTCCAGGTTCTTTTAAAAACATCTAGCTAAGTTGGGACATACTGAAAAAATGTGAATATAGTGGCTGGACATCCAACCAGTGTGTATGAGATATCTGGCTTTATGGACCAATAGAATTTCCTGACAGCTTGATAAATTAATCATAGTATATTTTATAAAAAATGCATTAATATAAAAAGGGGGTTTCTGAGGAGTCAAAAAGATGCCCATTACAGTACATGAGGAAATATGTTCCTTTGAATTAGAACTCTAGCAGCAAGGTTTCCAGCAGCCAGTTGGCAGTCAGCTGCAGTCAGACTTGACAACGCTTACAGGACATAAGCTCCCCTAGAAACTTCTATAGAATTATAATGCTCTAGTTAATAAAATGGATATTTAAAATAGAATAGTTAGATAAATTAAAAGGTCTAATTTAAACTGGTACAGGGAAGATGAAAGAAATTCTGCCAATAAAAAAACCCCGCTTTTCTTTAGATGCTGCATTAAGAAGTTGCCCTAGAGGCAAGTATTATATACCTTAAATCCCTCTCAGCCTTGAGATGACAGTTATTGAGAAATGTACTGTGTCGTATGCAGAGACCAGATTAAAACCTTTACTTCCTCAGCCTAAACCGCAGTCATGTCATAATCACATTCACTTTGCACACACACCCCGGTGACGTAGACTGAGATGCTATGAAACTTTTATTGGTACAAACTGTGTGTGAGTTACTCACTCACCATAAGTGAGAGCTTAGAAGATGAATTTTTTTGCAAACCATCCTGACATTGTTGCTGCATGACAGTACCACCAGGGTGGCACAGGGTCTCTGTGTGGGGTCTGTACCTTCAGGTTTGTTTATGGATATCTCTGCTTCTGCGCTGCTAATGCCTGCTATTTCAGGCATCCTCATACTTTCTGTAAGGATCTAGGGGAGTGGGGATGGAGGAGAGGAAATGCGGCTGCATCTATCAAAAATAGCTGAAAGTAGCTTTTCTAAAGTGAAAACAGCCACAGCTTTAAAATGTGTGTGTCCCGTCTCTTTGGAGAGAAGGAATGTTTCGGCGGAGTGTGCCCTCAAGCCTTCATACTGACGTGATTCACACAGTCCTGGCCCCACGGGTTTCTAGAAAAGCCCGTGTTTACCCCTGCTACCGCCGAGTCATGACACAGGAAACCAAAAACCAGCCCCAAAGCCCGGTGCAGGGGAGCAGCGGGCCGCCCTTTCCCGCTGGTTTCTCTCACAGCCGGGCGCGGAGGGGGCTCTCCGCAGCCCAGCCGGGGCACGGGGCAGCCCCGGCCCGCCCGACGGCGGCTCCGCGGCGCTGCCCGCAGGCGCGGGCGGGGAAGCCCCGGCGTGCGGGCCGGGCCGGGAGCCGCGGGACACCGCTCCAGAGGGAATCGCGGGGCGCCCCCGCTCCAGCGGGACCCGCGGGGAGCCCCCGCTCCAGTGGGACCCGCGGGGCACCCGCTCCAGCGGGAATCGGGGGGCCCCGCTCCAGCAGGACCCGCGGGACGCCCCTTTTCCTACCAGGAGAGGAGGGATGATCCTTTCCCCAGCTTCCCCGGCAGCCCCGCCGGGCGCCCTGCCCTGCCCCGTTCTCTCTCCTGGCAGCCGTCTTTCCCGGCCCGAAAGGCCCGGCACAGAATGACGACGGGGATAGTGTCCCGCTCCGTCCCCTAGTCTTGCATCCCCGCCCGGGATCTCGCGTAGTTGGCCATTTCTACGGGAATCATTCATTCAACGTCAAATTTCCTTTATCTCCGGAAAATATTGAAACCTTAAATGACCGTAATAGGAATGTAATTGTATGGTGTGTTCTTTGTTGTTGTTGTTTTTGAGAAATCGATTTGGGCTCAAATAACTCATCCAAGCATGTTACACCAAACCCATTCAAATAGGAAACAGGAGAACTATATTATTGCTGCTTCCTGAACGCTCTGGTTATGATCCCAATAATTAAAATGTCTAGTAATGGCTCCTGAAGCCTGTATTTCTTTGGGTAATTCTCGGAAATGAAGGGCACATTTTCGGTCGCCGAGGGAGGGGAGTGCGGAGACGAGCAGCAATTGCAGCGGCTGGGAGCCCGCCTGTGGCCCGCGCCCGGCGCATCACTTCGGGGGAAAATTATTCCGGCGGCGGGGAAGTCCCCAGAGAAGGGATTTCCTTCCCGGTCCCTCCGGCAAATCAACTTTTTTTTTTTTTTTTCCCTCATGGCGATGCTCTTCCCTCCCTCTCTGCCAAGCGCTGCGAGCCGCACATCTGTCTCTGCACAAGGCGGAGAGAAGAAAGGGTCGGGCCACGGGAGTGAGGGGAAAAGCCGCCCCCCTCCTCCCCGGGCAGCGCCGGCCGAGCGTGGGACCCTCCCTGTGGCGGGGCCGTGGGGCTTGTCCCTTACGCCCCGCGGCTTCAATACACGCAGAGCGGTCACGGCGCTGATGGTTTCCCCGCGAGGAGGGAAGCCTTGTGTAATGGGAACAATATTAACAATCCTTTAAAAAAGGAAAAAAGAAAAAAGAAAAAAAAAAAAAAGAAAAAAAAAAAAAAGAAAAAAAAAAAAAAGAAAAAAAAAAAAAAGAAAAAAAAAAAAAAGAAAAAAAAAAAAAAGAAAAAAAAAGACAAAGAAAAAAGAGAAAAGAAAAAAATTAAATGGGGGGGGGCTGGGAAAAAAAAAATTAGCCACTTAATTGTTAAGTCTCCGCGGAAGTGGGGGTTTCCGCGCCGGGGTGCTCCGCCTGCGCGCTCAGCGCCGGGCGGCTCCGCGGGGGCCTGCGCCCAGCGGCGGCCCCGGGCTGCGTGTGGGGTGAGCTGGCCCCGCGGAAAGACCCGGAGCAGAGCCGTGGGGGAGCCTAATAAGCCGGGGGACCCCCACCCCACCCCTAACTGCCCTCCTCCGCTTCCCTTCCCACGTCAGGTAAAACTTTACTGTGGCGAACATCCTTTTGGGTTTGTGCGGTGGGGCTTTTCTGCGTGTTTTTTTGATTGTTAGGTTTTTTTCTTTTTTTTTTTTTTGGTGGGGGGGGGGAGGAAGTGTGAGTTGGTGTTTATGAGAAGCTTTATGACTCCTGATAAGCTCATCTTTGAGGACGACACAGAACTGTGTTCCTTGAGGAATTGGGGTGGTGACGTCTTTTCTGATACCCGATTATTACGTGACTGAGGAAAAAAAAAAAAGGCATTTGATTCATGAATAAAAATCCGGACACCACTACGGGGGCAACAAACAATATTGCCCGTCCTCTAAGGTAACAAGCAGGCAAATGTTTACGAAGAGGGCTCTTGCTGAAGCGGGGTGTTTGCAAAGATTTTCTTGCTAATTGCGTATCAGACGGAAGGCTGCGGAAGGCTGGTCAAGTTTGGAACCACCGAGCAGGAGAAGAAGAGAAGGCTGAAGGCGCTCAGTGAGGGGAGAGATCTGGGGAAGACAACATCGCACGCAGCCAGCCCGCGGCTCCCGCCTCCGCTCCCTCCCGGACTCGCTCGCTCTCTTCCCTCTTCCCCAGCGCTCGGTTCTCCGGCGACATCTCGCTCCATCCCTCTTTCTCAATTCCCTTGTAGACTCCACTCCAGATCCGTGCTGCTGCCTGCAAACTTTTTTCCTTTATATTTTTTTCCCCCTTCCTCTCTGTCTTTTTCTTTTTGGAGTGGATAGCCCTAAAACCAGCAAACAACTAACTGCTGCTGCTTCTGCATCTTCTGCATCCTGCCGGTCCTTCGCCCATAGGAGAGGCGATGTCACGAGGGTTTTAACTCCTTTTGGACGCTACTTGCGAGAGAGCTCGATTTCTCTCCCCCTCCCCATTTTGGGTCTTTATTTTTTTTTCCCCCAAGACCTGCCGTTTTAGTTTCGCAGTCAAACGCTCTCAGTGCCGGGTGTCTAGAGTTTAATGGTAAGGACACGAGGTGGCTCGCCGGGCCTTCCCGCAGCGGTCCCGGGGCGGGCGGGCACCGACGGGGCGGGCGGCGGCCGCGGCTCCCTGCGCCGGGCAGCGCTCTGCTCCTCTCCGTGCCGCTCCGCGCCGGCACCCGGCTGCCCGGGGCGCTTGTCCCCCGGGGCCGCTCTGCCTCGTTTTCCGGCAGGCGAGGCCGAGGGGTTGGTGTGTCGTGGGGTGGTTTCTTTGGGTTTTTGTTAGTGGTGGTTTTTTGCTTGTTTGTTTGTTTGTTTTCGGGTTTTTTATTTTCTTCCCCCCCCCCCCCCCCCCCTGACATCCTGAGACATTTGTTTGTTTGTTTCGGGTTTTTTATTTTCTTTCCCCCCCCCTTTTTTTTTCCCCTTATTTTTTACAGCAGTTTCCTTTCCCTCCCTCACAGAGTGGCAATGTGTAGCAAAGCGATCTTAGCACTCCTGGTCTATGGCATAATAATGCACTGCAGCGTCTACTGCTCACCTGCGGCCGGACTTCAGTACCCGGCGCTCAGGTAGGTCCGTCAGCTGTCCGGGAGCTCCGTCGGGAACACTTCAGCTCCCCTCAGCCCCAGCTTAGCTAAGGGCAGCGGAATCTTACCGGGGAAGAAAAAGAGAGGGGATGTGGAGTAGAGTTACCAAAGGACATCCCCTCCACTCGGGCTGTGCGCCCACCCCCTCCACCGGCAGCCGCACTGGCATCCCCCAGGTCCGTTCCTCGGGACCCCGGTACTGTAACCCACGGTCTCTCGTCCCCGATGCAGTCCCCGAGAGTGGGGGACCTGCTCTTCTGCGTGTCGGCGGGAGCGGGCCGAGGTCCCGGCTGCATGTCGACGGGGCCCAAAAGCTCCTCTCCCGTCTGGTGCCTGTCTTGCGGGGCGCTTGGCAGCCGCTGGTTGCCCGCAGCTCGCCCAGGGTAAGCGCCGAGCATCGCCCGTCCGGTCAGGGGAAGCGGGGCGCGGGGACGGGAGCGCCGTTGTCTGCAAGGATGTGGGAGCTGTCATGGTTCGTGTAGCGGTACTGGAGCTGCTGGGGATTCAGTCTTCCCCTGTTTACCTGTCTGTGTATGACAGCCCTTCTCAAGAGAGAAAGGAGCTGGCACAAGGTTGTTCGGTTTTCTGTGCTCGGAGTTGTCTTGCTGGGCTACAGCGCAGGCTGGAGATGCCTGTGCTGTCCCTTTTCCGCTGCCGTGGGCGTTTGAATTCCTCTGTGTTTGGGGCAGGAGTGGAGGACACCCAGAGGCACCAGCACAAGGGAGTTTCCTGCGCTGGTCTGCAGCTAGGGGCTCAGGCCACCTGGTCCGGGACGGCCGGTGGCAGTCTGTTCTCACCCTGCTTGTCTCCTGCTCGGGCCACCCGTGCTGCTTGGCTTAGGGGGAGTTTTGGGCTCGGTGCTGTCGTCCTGCTCCACCGGCGCTTGGTTCTGTTCCGGGGTGCCCTGCGGGGGTCACTGCCGTGCGGTGACCGTAGATGAAGGGGCGGGGGGATGCCGGGAGCGCAAGGTTGTCCGAGGTGGGTGTCCTTTCTGGGGCTCCGAGGTGTCCTTGCAGTAACCGGGAGCCCGTCGGAGCTGGCTCGGAGCAGCCCCCGTCATCTTCAGGGGGCAGCGGGCTCGGTGGCCTGAGGGGCCATTAGCCGACAGCAAGCCGGCTTTCTTCATTCAAGAGCCTGAATTAGCAGGAGTGAAACACTTTAGCGGCATCTATTATTAATACCTCCGCTAAAGCTCGCAGACAAAAATAGCTGCCTGTAACGTGCAATGACCTACATCGTACTGCAGAGAGGGAGGCAGAGAGCGGGGGCTGGGGGGGCTGGGACACGCACCAAACTGGCGAGATCTCAAAGGGCAGAGGCACCATTCAACGAAAAACAAGAGGCGAAGCCCCCCCGTCCCGGCGGGGAGGAGCGGGGCGCGGTCCCTGCGCTGGGGCTGCCGCTCACCGCCCCGTCTCGGCCGCGGAGGCTGCTCGGCTGCAGCCCAGCCCAGCCCGGCCCGGCCCAGCCCCCGGCACACAAACGCGTGTGTGCGCGGCAGGCTGCGCGCCGGGGCGGGCGCTCCGCCCGGGAGCAGCGGGCGCGGCGGCGGAGAGGGGATGTTTCTCGGGCCGGGGCGTGGGCCGCGCAGGGCGGGGGGAGGGGGGGCATGTTTGGGGGCTTTCTTGGAGCGCGTCTGACGGCGGGTGTGTTCCCTCCTCCGCGGTCCTGCCCCGCAGAGGAGAGGGCGGGGATGGGGAGCGGGCGGGTGCGGGGAGGGGATGGGGCAGTCGGACGGGGCTCCCGGGGCTCCCGGGGCGGCTCCGCCGAGGGGTGGCCACCGAGGCAGGCGGAAGCCGGCAGCGGGGAGCGGAGCGGAGCGCCCCGCGGAGCCCGGCTGACTCCTTTTCCTTGCTGCTCTCGTTGCCAGGCTGGAGGATGAAGTCTACGACGAGGACGGGAACACTCTGCAGGACTTCGCCTACGACCAAGAGCCCCTCGGTATAGCGAATCCGTCCTCCATGATCGGCGAGATGTACACCTTGTATTACCCACCGGAAAAGAGGTGACTGCAACTCGCGGGGTGTCAGGCGTGAATTTGGACTAGGGAGAAAAACGGGTCTGGCAGAACCGATTGGGGGAAAAAATAGTAATGATACCTAACAAGCAAAGAGCAACAACATCAAAATAAAAATCCCGAACCCAAGCAAACGACAATACCGGCCAGGTCCCGGTGCCCAGTGTAAAGCTCAGAAGAAATGGAAAAGCCGCCTTACCTCCAGCAGCGCGGGGGAGGGAGCGGGGGAGCCGCCCGCGCCGAGGAGGGCTAGCGATGCTCCCGCAAACGGAGCAGAAATGCCCGGCCGGCGCGGAACCGAGCGAGCGCGGCGGGGAGGGATCTGGGTGGGGACGAGGGGTCCCGGGGGACGCGGGGAGATGCCGCCCTCCTCTCGCTGGCGGAGAGGGATGGTCACCGCTACCGCCCGGGCTCCCGCAACCCGCCGCAGCCGCTCCCGGGCCTCGCCGCTCACCCGCGGGCTCTTCCCTCTGCCCAGGCACGCCGATGGGATCTTCAACAAAGCCTACAGGAAACTCCTGGGCCAGTTATCTGCCAGGAAATATCTGCACTCGCTGATGGCCAAGCGGGTCGGGTAAGGCTCTCTGCTTGCTCCTTTCCGCGGTGGGCGTTGGTGCTGCTGGGGCGGAGGCACTGGAAGGGCCGCGGCTTGGGGGGAACAAAGCTGCCCCGGCCGGGGTCGGGAATGCGGGGAATGAGGCTGCTGGAGTCCGGCTCCCCAAGCACCGGCTGCCCCGGCCGCTCCCGGCGCGGCGTGAGCCTGGTTGTCAGCGCGGGTGTTCGCGGATTTTTGTTTGGGTTACTGCGCTCGGGCATACGGATATACATGTGTGTATATATATATTTATAGATAAACACACACATGCATGTGTATCTATCTATCTATCTATCTATCTATCTATCTATCTATCTATCTATGTCTATCTATCTATCTATCTATCCATCTATACCTACATCTATATATCTATATCTGTATACATATCTCTATATATCTATATCTCTATCTCTATGTATGTCTATATCAATCTACCTATATGTCCCTATACATTTTTATAATCAACCGATTTAAAATTAGCAAGTTGGGCAGCCCTTACGGTTTGCTGGGGGGAGCAGCCTATCGAGAGCGATGATCGGGGGCTCAGCTGCAGCAGTGGAGGCTCGCTTGAAGCCCTGCGCACCCCCAGCCGCCGGGCGGGGCTCCCCGGGGCTCCCCGCCGCCGGCGGGGCAGGGCGAGCCCGGTGCCACCCGCTGCCCTTCGGCAGAAGGTAACACGTTAATGAAGCCCCGGGGAGAGCAGCTTTCACGGCCGTAATGAATAATTCATAATTCATGGCGGGGCGATATTGTCTCTCCCGCCGCCGCCGCCCCTTGCGCGCACAGCGTCGGGAGCGGGTTTCGGCGCGGCCTTTGTCTCGCCGCGCATCTTCCGCGCAACGTGTTGCGCCGGGGGCAGCGGCCGGCGCGGGGCTGCGCGGGGCAGGGGCGGTGCGCAGGGGCGCGCAGAGGGGCGGAGCGGCCCCGCCTGATGCAGCTGTGCTTCTCGGTGCTTGCAGCGGTGCCAGCGGCGGCCTGGGGGACGATGCGGAACCGCTGACCAAGCGGCACATAGACGGCATCTTCACGGACAGCTACAGCCGCTACCGGAAACAAATGGCTGTCAAGAAATACTTAGCAGCCGTCCTGGGGAAAAGGTATAAACAAAGAGTTAAAAACAAAGGACGCCGAGTAGCGTATTTGTAGCGATGTGAGTAACCAGCCACTCCTGTGTATACAAAGTCCTAAGAGAGAGAGAGAGAGAGAGAGAGAGAGAGAGAGAGAGATAAACCCAACAACAACAACAACAAAATCTAAACAAAAACTAAAGTCATTTCCAAACTGACTGAACAATCACCGCTCCTGTGTTATCTAAACATGTATTTATGTATGAAGTAAAGCCATTAAATGAATATTTTGATAATAATATTGTTTTTCTTTTGTACAAAAAGCACTAGAGAAACGCACAGATCTACTTTGTGGACCAATCGTTAAGTTATATATAATATATAAATATATATATATAAATACTACTAAGAATAGTAAGGAACAATTCTTCATGAAAAGCCTGCACAAGAACAAGAATTCGCCTGAGCTGTTTATGTTTTTATATAAAATAAATAGAAAAAAAGAGACAATCATTGTTTTGAATATTACTCCTATTTTTGTAACAGAAATTAAAAGGATAGTATTTTTATCCGAGACAGGGTCGAAGACATTAATTTTCACCATTTGCTACTGTACATAGAGAAGGATGACCTGCTCCCAGGGGGATTATGAGGAAATTGATTTGGGAGAATTGGCGAAGCAGATTCTTCCCCTGGTGAGTCTCAAGGCAGGCTCCTTTGCCACTAGCCTCTCTGAAGGGGCAGCGTCCCCTTTCTTCTAGATTTCGATTATTTTTTTTTCTCTCCTGCTTTCTTTGATTCCAGTTGTATCTCTATTAGTGTATCCTCAAACAATGAGCTTAGAGGATACTTATCTTGTGAAAATAACAGCTCGATCCAAATTGTGCATCTCTGTTGCCTATTGGAGGGAGAAATAGTTTAAAAACCTAAAACTAAAATAATAATAACAAAAAAAAATTTTCAAAACAAAACCAAAAATAGCCAAACTCAAAACCCCAACCCCAAAATCCCGAACCAGCAGCAAGGGTAGTAAGTACTAAGCCCCGTGCACTGCTCTTCTGGCTGTCTGGGCAGAGTTGCAGAACAAAGCCAAAGCAGAGACAGGACCCGTTTGGAAAGAGTGGGGAAGTGAGCGGGGGCGGCCCCCGGCGCGCCCCGGGGCCGGAGCCTGAACCGGAGCCGGTGCCGCAAGGGTCGAGGTAAGACGAGGCGATCCCACCTCCGATCCGCTACCCAACTGCCCCGGGCAGCTCGGTACTGGACCTGGATGCAAAGTACAGTGTGTTACTCTCCAGTGCTGTCCATGCTTCTCATCATGTGTAATAATGAGCAGGGTTCTCGCCTTTGCATTTTTCGGTCGGAGTTGCTCTTTTCTTTGATTGCTTTTTCTTGTAGGACCTCCCGCCTCTCATCCTCTCTTCGAACTTTTCCGAGCTCTGTTTAACCCACCTGAGTCACCTTTTTGGGTTATGTTCTTTTTGGGAAAAAAAAAAAAAAAGATTGTGAACGCTCTCTCACTCCTTTGTTCTGTTTTATGCAAGCTCTTATTGTACAAGTTTAGGAACCCCTGTTGTAGCTACCACTAAAGAATTATGCACTACTACGAAAGTTTTTGTTCCTTGTTTATTGAGTTTGGAGGTAAAATGTATTTTTCTACATTCTGGCTTATTGCTTAGTAAAATTTATTTCATAAAACAAACTTTTGTCATAAAAGAATGTGTAGTGTTCACCTGTGGTCCGGTTTCTAACGAGATAAACCATTTTCACCTCATCTCTCTATGTACGGACTCCTATCTTACCGTCTGCCCGGGGGCTGGTCCGGTCCCCCGCCCGGGCCGGGAGCGAAGGAGGACACGTAGGTACCCGCTTCCTTCCAGCTCACCACACAAACCTTACAGGAGTCTTTCCAAAGACAAAACGAGCCCCGCGTCCAAGACGTCGGAAAGCAACCCCCCAACCCCCCCACCAAACCCTGGCGGGTAAACCCTCGCCTCCCAGGCCGGGAGGAGCGGAGCGGGCCGGGCAGAGCCGGTCGGGGCGGGCAGGCGCTGCCCCGGCGGCTCCGGCCGGGCGCTGCCGGGGCGCGGGGACGCGGGGCGCAGTGTGCAGCTTTCGTGCCTTCTCTTCACCTTGTAAATCGCCACGAGTTCACGGATGGCATTTAGTGGCCCTACGATGCTGCAACACATCGGCTTGCGTTTTAGTCGTCCTTCTGTTCTTTGGCCATGGGCAGAGTGCGCTGTGTTTGTGTCGGCTGTGGTATAATGACATAGGGCTCTCTTGACGTTTTGTTTATGACCTTATCAGTTAGAGTTCAGTGGCTAGTCGCAAGCATTATGAAGTGATCACCTAGGTTATTATCCTTTGTACGATTTCTTTTTTTTTTTTTTCCAGAAACGCCAACAGCCTTACCAAAATTTGAGCAGATTTGAGATACAGTCATAGTAGGTAGATGTTAGTCTTGGAGAACTTATTTTGTGTGCAAATGAATATAAAAAGAACTTAAACAAAGTATTATTACACACATGATATCTATAACTAGGACTTTGATAACTGTTATATAAAGTGTGTAAAGTTTGTATTAATAAATTTTTGTAAACAATGCAATTTCGTCTAATGTTTGGGGGAGAGAAATCTAGAACCTAACAGTGGAAGCTGCATTTCATTTAATTTGTTTTTTAGTTAGTTCATTATTAAGCATAATTCTTCTACAGTGTTTCATGCCTGGGATATCTTTTTCATTAAGTTTCCACATCTTGTCACCTCTACTCTGTTCGAGCAAACTAAACAGAACTGCTGGAGTAAAGAGCCTAGTCCCACACACATCAGCTCAAAACACTCTATAAAATATGCAAACCAAACTAGTCGGCGCCTATGGTCCATTCCTCTAACACTTCCTGTGCTTAGAAGCCGTTTATTTCAAGCGGAATTGCTATGTTTGATGAGATCTTCTCCTAATCCGCTTTTAATGAACATTCTGTATGTGATAATGTGCTTCCAAGTGTCACCCGGCTCGGGCAACTGCAGCATCTTTCTTCGGATTAAAGATGTACTAGCCGTCCTAAAAAAATTACACTGCAACACGACAGAGAATTCCTTGGGTTTTTCAGGGTAGTAGGTGGCTATAGCAAAAAAGCACAGGGTAGTTTGTTGGCACAAAGTGGGGGTCAGAACTCAAACCTTCACTTTAGCTTGGCAAAGGCTGCTTCTGTTAATTATTTTTATTGTATCTCCAGGACTTTACTCAAGTATGTTGAAAAGTAACAGCAATTTAGTTTAAACTAAACTCTATTTCCTTCTAAGACTCTACAATTCAAAAACAAAGCACAGGAATTTAAATGACAATTTCCTAGCAATTTATTTTTCAAAACTCCAAGTCCAGGATTTGAGACAGACTGGTCATATCCTCTTTGCCATGAATTCACCTTCCAAACAGTATTTTACTGACAAACTGGAAAACACTGAGAGAACTTAGCTGATGATGTCAGTGGTACATGTCAGGAGTTACTGCAAAGTGAGATAAAAGAGTTGGTTAAACACAGACCAGGTCAGAGAAGAATGCCAACCCCCCATACCCCCCAGAACATACCTGTTGAGGGGAGGGGAAGATGTGAGTGATTTCCCAGACTTACAGCTTAACAAAATCCAACCACTGTTTCCCAAAATCAGCATGGAGCAAACACCTGCTCTTAACCTTATTCAGGGCTCACACATATAACTACACTACATTTCCTGCCCATCAAAACTGAAAATGTGATTAAGACAACCAAGCTGGGTGCCTTCTTCATATTGGTAGCCAAAGGATGAAACTTAGGATTGGTCCACCTGAAAAGTAAGGTCTTAATCAAGTCCTGGTATTTGTTGAAGATGTGCAAAAGATGGAAATTCTGCTGTGATCACATAAAGATAGTCCTAGCCCCACTCTACTAAAGTTCCTCTTTACCAAATCAAATAAAATTTCATGGAAAAGCTCAGCTCAGTTCCCAGTGAATTAAAGTGATATCTTAAATGTTACTCTTGGAAAATGTACACTACTTTCTTACAGTATGAGTTTTGTGGGGATTACTGGAGTTCTGTATGCTGCTATACAGATAGGAGCAGAAATGGATAAAACTGGCTGAGGAAACAAGAATGACTAGGCAAGACATGCTTTTGGAGCCTCATATTGTAAAAACTTCGACTGATACTCAGTCAAAGTGGTAAAATCCAGTTAGGTAGTAAAGAAGGCTGCTGTACATTCCACCTCTTGGAAATGTGGTACAACACCACATCTGTCACATAGGTCATCAAAACCAGTGCCTGAAACTACAATTTCTTTAGAGCCCTGTTGTGAACTCAGATACAGCCAGTATCTGCCTTTCACAAGGTTTGATTGTGAGGGTGCTGATCTCCTCTCCATGTGCCTATAGAACATTTTGGTCTTCTTCAAAACATAAAGTTAGTCTATTGTCTGTATGTTTTCAGCTATAATTAAGGAAAATAGGAAAACAGGAGGAAATTTTATCTTTTGAGGGTTTGCTACTTCATACTTTTGAAGCTTTTTGATACTTCATATCTTTGCAGTTTACTTTTCAGTTACAGGATAAATAATTCAATCTTCAGGAAAAACCTTCAGGGAAAGCTCATCCTGGAAAATGTAAAGGCTTCATACTTAGCTTCTAGAACTACATGTCCTCTGAACTACACTCATGGATTTTCAAGACCCAAGTGGACTCTTATGATCATCTACCCTGTTTTAGATAATACAGGGCATAGGATTTCATGGACTTTGTCGTTCAGCATTTCATTTCTGAATGAGCTATTCTGTATGACAGCAGTATTGATTCCAAAGCTAGCAGGGATGGCAAATTTACTGGATAAGTTGTTCCAAATGCAGCAATTTAGCACTGTTCTTTGTCTCATTTTTGAGTCCAAGAGATTTGTAGCCTGCTGAAGAATCTCTAATGCCTGTAGATTTCCCTCTCCACATAGGTAGTCTTAGGCAGTGTTTTGCTCTCCTCTGTGCCCTTTCTTTGAGGTAGTGAGGTTGATCTTTAAGTGCTCAGCATGAGGGAGATTTTAATCAGGTGGCACTATCTCTGAACCATTTGTATTTATTAACATCTTTGCTCAAGTTGAGACTAGAAATGGTTACAATACATAGCAAAGACCACCTTGAGAATGTGACAAAAAGTAGTAACTTCTTCTTTAACCCCTCCTTCTGCAGGTGCTGCTCATTGCTAACAAGGGTTGCATTTGCTCTCTTGGCCATTTTGTCATGCTGTGAGATCATGACCTGTTCATAATCCTTTCCCACAGC